AGTACAGTTTACCCCATCTAGGTTTGAACCCGCGACCTTCCCATAAAGTTGTCTGTAGGCAGTTGTTGTACATACGAGGGATAAGTAGGTTCGAGCTGCTTACCTGTAGGGTAGGAGTCGTAGCTTATGTCGGGGCGTAGCTGCTGTAGGTCTGAAGGGTCGACCTTAGCCGTAGCTGCTACAGTACCGAAAGGGCAAGTAGGCAAGTCTAGAGTCTTCTAGGACTTCCCCTTCGAGAGTCTTAGAAGCAGTCCGTAGGCAAGTGGGCAAGTGGGCAAGTGGGTAGACTTACCACGGCCAGCCGGTACCCAGTCCCAGTCGGACCTTGTCCAGTCAGCAAGTAACATGTGGGACTGTGTGCACCCTGGGCCCGGTGGAAAAGAGCAGACCAGCGACCAACAGAAGTATAAATCAAGAGGCATCGTCCAGTTATTCATTCATTCAGACTGCGAGACGTGCGGAAGCGCTGCCAGAGCGGCTTGTGCAAGGAGGTCTGCAGGTGCCCGAGGGAGATGAGGGCTGCGAGGGAGACGAAGCGGCCACAGCCGCTAGTAGTGGTAGAGGTAGCAAGCAGCCATAGCTGCGCCAGGTTAGAGATAGTCTACAGCGTGTTTGTGTATTGGCGTGCAGTGAGTTGTGAGCGTGTGTGGGACATCCAGGGAGATCCAGGGTAGTGTGTGTGTGAACTGTTGCTGAGGATACAACGTGGAAGGGTGTTGTGAGGGCACTCAGGCGCTATAGCCATTTCGAAGCAAGCTGAATCTGAACTGTGTTCTTGGCCACGATTTCTCTGAGTTTCGTGTGAGCGCTTGTCGCCAGTGTGATTGCCATCTGTTTCATGCATGCTAAGTAAGAAAGACTTAAACGAGTCTGATTGCAAATGCGGCTGCGGCTGCGAACTTTACATCAGCAATGTAATCTATCGTTGAAAAGCTAAAAACTGTTTTCAGGGTTTTCCGCTTCCTTTCCTTGACTATACGCCTGAGCAATGGATAGGTAACCAAAGTGATAAAACAGATCACGCTTTGAGACACCCTGTTTTTTAACACATTTATAATTTTAGATAATAAACTGATCAGAATAGATACTACACATGATCTATTTTTAGCCAAAGGCCGAGAACGGTATTCACACTACGAGACTTCGATGCCATCAACATGAAAGACGTTCACAATCGACGATTGAAAAAACTATCCGCATCAGCATGGCCAGAGCACACGTCCGTAATGATGATCTAGCACTTCCTCGAGCAGAAGAGATTGAAAAAAAAAAGAAAAAAAAAGACCTAGCACAGTAGTAGCACTTCCTTTTACTGCAGTGTAGCTGGACTGAGGGTATCCTTTCAAACGATATGGGGGCTTTCTTTTTCTTTTTCTTCTTTTTCTCCCTTCTTTTTTCCTTCTTTTTTTTCTTCACGCCTCCTTTTAAATGATGGGGCGGTTTCCATTTCGTGCATCTCAGCTTTTGCTGAAAGGACTGCTGACATGCTGCCATGTGTCGCCTCCTGTTCGCTTGCAGACAAGTGTCGAGGACATACCACATTTAATAGTCCAAGTCATATAATTAAATTATTTCATTATGCAAGAAAAAATGAGCGATTGCGAACTTCAGAAATCAAACAGCATCATACACATGAGACCAGATAGTCGTGACCTCGAACCAATAGCAGAATTGCATCACGAGTTTCACCAAATAAGAGCACAGCAAAAGCTCATAATTGACGATGTTCAAATAGTCTCTTCATCATCAACAAAGAACCAATGTCGATATCCTACCTGGTGCTCGGTGCCCAGACTACAGATGGCAGATCCTATCTAGCCTATCTACAATGCCGCTGATGACGTCAACAGCTCCCCGAAGTACGAGCAGATCTCGGCTAATGCCTTTCGCTTCAAGCACCAGGTATTTCTTCCGTATCACTCACAACCTCGATCCCCAACTCACAGATGCCACAAGCACCCAAGAACCACGATGCGCCCCATCCAGCATACAGCAGCGCAGCTCGGCTATGGCTGCCTGCTCCTTCCAGCTCGCCCGTGAGCGCGTGAGCGCTGGCCAGCGTTAGTGCAGCAGTGCTTGCGCAGCATGCAGCCAGTGCCCGAATGCCGAATGCGTGGGCAGGCCCTTTCCTAAATGGAAGTGGCCTGCCTGCTTGCGTGCAGCCTGGCTGTGCTGGGCCTCTGCCCAGATGCTTCCAGTAGGCCCAAAGAGGCTGAGCCCCAGTCCAAATCAAACAGGCCCTGGGCCTGTGGTGGTTGCCCATGTCCAACTGCCACGGCCTGTGTTCGGTCCATGTAGCGAATCTGGCCCAGGGCCTGCCTCAGTTACATTCGTAGGAGGCAGCCTGGGCCTGGGCGCTCTCAACCAACTGGTGCTGCGCAACTGCTTGAATTTCCCCAGTTGCGTGGTGACCCCAAAAATGGCCTGTAGGCCTCGGTCGAGCCTGCCTTCACTTAGGGCGGCCGACTGTGTTGAAAATAGGCCCTGTAGGACATATCGAGGCCTTGTGCCTCGCAATTACATCATCATCATCATCATCATCATCATCATAATAATAATAATAATAATAATATAAAATAATAATAATAATAATTAATAATAACAATAATAATAATAAAATATAATAATAATAATGATTTTTAGTTCTAATGGGGAGGAGCGTGTGTGAGCACCTATTGTATTTCTCTGGCTTGCCTGTGGAACAGAAACCAGACTCCGGCTCCCCTCAATGGAAAGGAGACAGAGCCGTAAGGCTCTCTGTTTTTCAGGGGGGGAAAAAAGAAGAAAAAAAGTTCCTTGTGATTTCAGCAGCGACGAGACGCCTGTGTACTATCCCGCTGTCTGAAGAAGCAGCTCTCTCCAAAACAGAAAGGTGTTGAAGTTTCAGCATGTAAAAAAAAAAAAAAAAAAAAAAAAAAGAAACAGAAAGGTATGGGGGAAAAAAAAAGATAGTGGAGCAGGTTCACGTTCGGAGGCGAACACGAACATGTTCCGCCCGAACGCGACCGAGCGCCCAAAACCCTCCGAACACGATGTCACGAACATAAAAAATATTAAAAAAAAAAAAAAAAAACATCTCAGAAAAATACAAGCAACTTTTGCCTTGGAGTTGTGTTCAAAATTCAAATTCTTAGCCAAACGTGAATTAAAAATCAAAACCCGATTGGTTTTAATTTTTGCAAGGAAAATGAGCAATAGCGAGATGACAGAATCCAGATTACACGATCACATTGAAGGCCAGAAAGTCTCACAGTGACCAGAAAGCAGCAATGCACCAATGTTACACCAATGGAGAATCGAAACACTGAAACCAAATGTCAATGAGAGCTTACTCTCGTCATCACCAAGATCAGAGTCCAGGCCCTTCCCCCTACTTGGCGCTCGGCGCCCAGACTACTTCCCAACACAGCTACTATCTGCCTATGAATTGACAATGCAACTGTTGACGCCAGCAGCCACCAAGTACATGAAGATGTTGCCCAATGCAGACCATCGCCAATACCAGGTATGAGCCCTCACATCATCATCCTCATCTCTATCTCTCTCACTCTCCCTCATCTTTCTCCCTTGTCTTCCCTCTATACACCCGGAGACCACCCCTGCGCCTTGCTGTATTCCAATGCCGAGCCAGCCATGGAAGCTGGGCTATGGCGCTGCCCTCAGCAGCGCCTTTCTTCCCACACGACCGCACGTGCAGAGCACCTTGCGCCTCGCGCTAGCAGCAGCACGTGAGTGTCCGCTCCAGCAGCGCTGCCGCAAACTAGCAAGTGCCTGAATGAGATCCCACGCAGCGGACTCTTTCCTATATGGAAAGAGTCTGGCCTGGCCTGCGGCCTGGCTGGGCTGGGCCTGCCCAGAAGCTTCAGGTAGGCCCCAGGTAGCTGGGCCTCGTTCAGTTGCACCTCCCAACTGTCGGTGGATGTTGCTGCGAATGTGGCCCAGGGCCTGCATTTCAGAAAAGGCCTAGAAGGCCGTGGAAAGTGTTTGCGGCTCAGGTCCTGGGTTCCCTCAACCAACTGACGCGACACAACTGCCTGAACCCGAAATACAAAAATTGACAGCATTGGGCCTCTGGTGATTTGTTGGGCCCGCCTTCACTTAGGGCGGGCACACTTGGATCAGGGGCCCGTTAGTCCTGCCGAGGAGCCTTATCCTCGCATTTTTATTTTTTAAGAAAAAAAGTTTAAAAACATTATGTTCGACCGAACACGTTCGCGATCCGTTCGTGCGAACTTCTGAACGTGTTCGGGCGTTCGCGAAAGCGGCGAACACGTTCGGTGTGCTACACCACAGGTGGACCGCTTACAGGCTCTGGTCGAAAAAGTCGTAGCCGCAGCAGTGGAGCGCGCAATCGAGAAAGAAGTTAAGAAGGTCCAACTTTTTCTACACCGAACAGCACCAAATTTAGCGCACCTCAGTTCCACCAAGCAGCAAAAGATTGCGAATTACCAAAAACAAACAAACAAAAAAAATTAACGAACAAGGAACCTGACAGTAATTCTGTCCTCGTCACCTTCGATGAGCTGCATCCTGCCCTAGACCTGCCGGGTCCCTCCTCGGAGAAACCTAGATCCACTACTGTCTTCACCCAAATGCATGGTCATTGTAGCTGTATTTGGCGCAACTTTCAGCATATATACAGAGATAATGACTGTATTCTAGTCGGGTGAAGACCGTAAAACCTCGAACCAACCACGATCAACCTGAAAACGCGATCTTAGACAGACGCCTCAGGTTTGAAACTCGTCGTAAGTGGAACTGCAAAACCACTTAAAAGCTAAAACCTAGGCTACCAGAGTATCCTGGACCACTTGCCCGACCGGGTCAAAAACAAAATTTACAACTTTTTTAAAGAAGAAAAAAATGTGAACTTCTAAAATTATAAAATTTAAAACTTCAAACAACGCTTTCCCCAACTCTTCAGTTTTTTTTTTTTTTTTTTTTTTTTTTTTTTTTTTTTTTTTTTTTTTTTTTTTTTCCGCCTGTTCCGTATGTCGTACCTTCAATCGCTGCTGTTGCTGCATCTGCGCATGCAGCGGCCATATCGGCAATTCCAGTATCTTCAGCAAAGCAGAGACTCGACGTACGGCTGAGATTGCAGTGCAGAAGATTAGTGTCCTCACAGGATGCATCCTCAGCAGATAGTACAAAACAGTGTCTTTGTCGGTGTCCACGCACCTGTGTCATGCACCACACAAATGATCGGTTAGGCACCAGTGCCGATAAGGTGTGACAGACTTGATAATTAATTGATTWTTAATTAATTWTKTYAAMTKTYWTTTKTTTTTTTTTTTTTTGTTTTTTTTTTTTTTKTTTTTCCTTTTTTTTTTYTTTTTYTTTTTTTAAAAAGCCCAGGGTGTTGTAGAGGCCGGTTACTAGGCACACATTGATCGCCRGRAGCGGTCAGCCATGGTCGTTCTGAGGGAATGAGGCTACCTTCCCATCCCATCCTCATGTCAATACTCCTAGCGCACCCCCTATCTCTACTATCCTACCTCAGTGTGACCAGCACTCAGGACCATTGTCCCTATCGAGGGGAACTTGGACCGAACAGCAGTGACAGGCACCAGGGCTAGCCATGACCCAGCCCTGGTGGAAGCGGAATCGAACGAGCCTTGTCGCACGGGAACTTCGGACGCCAGGCCCAAGCAATCTCCTACTAGCCCCTAAGTTGACCAACTGGTAACTCACGCCCTCTACTCGCCCACCACAGTCCTAGTTGATTTTAAGGCGGGGTACTTATCCTCAAAACGCCTATCATCATCGTCAGTTAATCCAGACCAATGTATGATCAGGAGTCAAGTCTGTATCACTAAACGACAACACAAATGGGCAGCCCTACCTTCTTAACCCGAAAAAAGACGTACGTACCTTGTATACGAATACAATGTATGTATGTTATAGAACGAGTTTTAGGATACAACTTTTTTTTCTTTTTTTTTTATAAATAAAAGGGCGATGGCCTTGAGGTATTATCATCAGACTAACCAGCCCAGGTAAATTCAATATTGTGTCTAGTCTGACATCGGGTGGCCTTTTCAGCCAAGGGTGGCCTTGATTGCCTTCAGACGCCTGTAGGACCGCCATTGTTTTTATTTTTATCTCAAATTTGGTTGGGAATTTCACCAAGACCCACAGGCAAAAGTTGTTTGCATTGCAATGTTGTACAACATACTTTTTTTTCGGATTTTTTACTGAAGTTTTTTTTTAATTGAAATTCTGAAAAAATCAGTAAAAATACTAAAACCCTCAGGGGCCTGGACCCACTAGCAACGTATTCTACCACGCCGTTCAGGATTTCGATCACATGTGGCATCGAGTGACTCAGTACGGCCGTCGAATAGATCGGATCTCGACGGCCTGGCAGTTTCCGAGTGGGGACTGTAAAGATGCCCACCTCCCATCCAATGAGATGCTTCGAAAAGAAAAAAAAAAAACGAAGTTGGACTAACTTGGACATAATAGCTCGTGGCTTTGCTTGGGCGGGAAGTCTGGAAAGTCTGGATTTTATGGGCTCTAAAGGGGGGGGGTTGATTTCCAGACTTCGTTTTTTTTTTTTTGGCTCTGAGAAATAGAACTTGAAATGTGAAATTCGAATATTGTGGTGGATCTGACAGGAACGCTTCCGCGTCTGTCGGATGGCCAGCTAAAGGCATCATCAGATGCATCGCGATGAATGTATCCCAAGACCCGTTACTTGTTCATCCTCGTGAATGTGTTCGTGGACACATTTTATTGCCACGGTACATCACTATGAAGACTTTCGTGAAGGAGATGGTACCAACCCATGAATTCGGGAGCACAGCTGTTCTTCATAGTTTTATGTGCTATTTCAATTCATTTTAAATCAGAAAACGGTCCATTCATGCAAATAAAAAATCACTTTGTACTTTCCAAAAAAACATAAAACTGTGTCACACGTCGTAGAATACTTCGCTAGTGGGTCCAGGCCCCAGGCAAACGTTGTTTGTATTGCATTGTTGTATAACATTTTATTTTTTTCGGATTTTTTTGATTATTTTTGAAAAATCAAATTTCCAAAAATTTGAATGCAACATACATACGTTGTATTCGAATACAACTTACGTACGTTATATTCAAACGTACGTTCTATTCGGGGAAAAACAAGCGATTTCTGAACCCGATTTCCAGAGGTAATTCGAATAGAACGTACGTACGTTTTTTTTGGGTTAAGAAGGTAGCTCCACCATGAACTGTTCATATACCGGCCCAAGTTGGAATCCAGACGCAATCAGACGAAGAGAAGAGGAGGGCGGGGAGGGGGGGAAGGGGGGGGAGGGGAACACTGAATGGCTAAGACAATAATTTCTTAATTTGCCTTCTTCACAACTTAAACCTGTTTTGTTGTACAAATGTCAAATAATAAAATTTAGAATGCTGGTCTGCCCATCCTGAAACACCGAGCGTATCAAGTCAGGGCGACGCTGATCGACGTATATGCATCAAATTCGTGCACAATTTGTTCTCACTTTCCTGATTTTGTCAAATATTTTTCCGGTGATACATCGGAACCTACCCTACATCCCTACCTTTCCCCTGATTTTTTTGTCAATGGAAATGAGAATTTGAAAAATCGCCAAATTAGGGTGCACGGAATTATGTGAACAGTGAACACTCTCCCCTGCCCCTCCAGCAGGCCGAGCCTTTCAATGGCCTGCGGCCATAAAGTTTTTCAGGAGGGTGGTCGGCAGTGGCAGCCTTAAATAAAAAAACTCAAGGAAGCTTCTAGCTCTTTTTCTTTTTTCAACTCCAGAGTGCGGGGTAGCCCTTTTCGTTATCGTGACCACGTGACTCTTTATCAGATCTGTACTCAGCACCGCGCACGTGAACTTACCTGGAGAAGACCTTCCAGGCTGGAGTGCGTGCGACTTACCGTGGATCCCTGATGTTTTGTGAAGTTTTACAACTTTCCAAGACTTGGCGTCGAATATCTAATCTATTCTTGTGTCATCTACAGCAGTGTGTTTGATGTTTGCTGTTTTGATTCCACAAGTGTGGTGTGTGATTATAATCTCTACTCACCTGACTCCACCTGTTGGAGTCAGGTGGATAGCTGTTTCGACTCCACCTGATGGATGGACAGCTGTTTTGACTCCACCTGATGGATGGATAGCTGTTCTGGCTCCGACAGGTGGGGTCAGGTGAGTAGAGATTATAATCGCACAACACACTTCTGGAGTAAAAACAGCAAACAACGCACTGCTGTAGACGACACAAGAATAGACGAGATATTCAACGCCAACTCTTGGAAAGTCGTAAAACTCGACAAAACATCAGGCAGCCACGGTCAATCACGTGCACTGTTCTGGTGACCGGCTCATATGGCTGAATGTTACACATGCAAGGGGGTCATCAATAAAGTTGGATAAAATTGGATAAGTTGGATAAAGTTGGATAAAGTTGGATAAAGTTGGATAAAATTTGATAAAGCTGGATAAAATTGGATAAAATTGGATAAAGTTGGATAAAATTGGATAAAATTAGATAACAATCAGGTGGCGTCAAAACAGCTATCCATCTGATCTCCTCCTCCTCAGGGTTCGAGCTCCTTACCTGTTTACCCAACTTTATTGTTCACCCCCTTGCATGTGTGACCCCCTTGCATGTGTAACATTCAGCCATCTGAGCTGGGTTCCCACAGAAGAAGTTGTTCGTAAGGTAGGGCAGGAAGCATCCCGCTTAAAAAGAAGAACTGTTTTCATCGGCTCCTCCCTGACCTGTAGCCGAAGCCGGGTAATGGCCACGATGCTGTACATTCCTCGTGTTGTGCCTCTTCATGTATCTGTTTGGTGTGAGACGCAGAGACCCGGTTTCCAGCAGGTGCTGCTCCCCACCATTTGACAGGAACAATCTGATGAGGGTGCTAGGATGCTCGTATCATCCCCTGTAGCACCACTGCCGGATGTTAAAAAAGAAAAGAAAAGGGGGGCAGGAATCATCACAAAAACTCATGGAAGAGAGAGCACAGAGGTCAAAAGGCCGAAACGGGCGAAGCAGTTTAGTGCCAACTCAGAATACCAGCGCGAAGCACACACCTCCTTCGCTCTGGGAGAGTGTTGAATGGCCATTTCATATTTGGGCATGGATCTTCCTCTACTTTTTCATTACCGGAAGCGTACGAGGAATCATCCCAAGTCGGCCAATAACGACTGCCCTAAATGCAGGCCGCCCATGCTCTCACCCACCTCTCCCTTCGTCAAACCACATCCATCCATTGTATATAGCTTCAAAGGGCAGGTTTGTGTTTAAAGTTTAAACCACCACTACCTTTTGCCCAGCCAACGTGGCGAATTGAAAATATAACATTCCGGGTTGTTCGGATCAACAGTGCTACCGGACCACAACGACTGGCAGCGCCAGCCAAAAGGGGGAAAACAAAACCGCTGCGCTTGTGCTTCGGCACAGCTCGGCGCACAGTTCCTTTCTGCCTCGACAAAAAGAGGCACAGAGGTAGTGGTGGTTTAAAGCCTCGACACATCTGGGTTGGATCCAAGGGGTGCCTCGGACATGTTTGGCCGCGAGCACCCTCTTTTCCACGGGACAGGCAGCTCCTTATCAAGGATTACTAAGCAGCAGTTTTGGCTGTATGCCGGCGCATCTATCTTGCTTGCACGCTGGTCGTCTAACAGTCTAAAGACTCAAAACAAAAAAAAAAACTGCTCAAGGGCTTGGACAAGCAGCTGTTCACAGTGCGGCAGTGAATGCAGTGCAGACCTGTTCTACCTGTCAAGCACATTGAGCTATAGCACAACATAGAGACACTAACCGTCTTCCCCGAACATAATGTGCCCTGATAATCAATGTATACACGATACTATACAGGTCATCTCTCCAGTCCGGTACACGCCATAATAACGCTGCATTGTACTTTGCCAGGAGACGGAAGCGCGATGACACTGATTATCAGCCTTGCGTCGCACTTGCGTGTTGCATCATGCACTGCTGAGTGGTACTGCCAGTGCCAAAAGCTTTGTGAGGCAACAAAAGTATTATAGATAAATCGAACATAAACGAATCAAATTTTTGGAAACCTAAACAACAGTTTTTCAACCTTTTTTTTTTTTTTTTTTTTTGGCAAAATAAACAAAAACTGTGTTACCAACCGAGCCACCTGGGTTAGCTTGGTTTCCGGGTGGCCTGGCCAGGCAAGGGTCAGGGAAGGTCCCTGCTTGAAAAGAAAAAAAAAGAATCCCAAAAATAGTAAAATAGCCTAAATAGTAAATAGTGTGAGGATTGAGCGCTCAAGTAGGGGCCTTGCCATGATGTACATGTTCTGGGCTAAGGCCCCAGCAAGCCTAGTGCCCGCCCTAAGTGAAGGCGGGCCAGCAAATCAACAAGAGCCCTCTGTGCCAACATTTCACGAAGTGGGGTCTATACAGTTGCAGCACGCCAGTTGGTTGGAGTGCACCGAGTCTCGGATTTCAGCAAATGCTGAAATGCCCAGGGCCTCTGAGTTAGTTAGGCCCTGGGCACTYGAACGTGAGGCCGACAATGCRYGCTGGGTAGAGAGGCCGAAAATGCCAAAGGGAAATCGGCCCACTGTCTGAATCTGGCCGCAGGCCTTGATGAAGGAGGCACAACTGCATTGCCCCGGGGCCCAACTGTATCAAGTTGGCTTCAGCCTCTGGGCCCCAGTCACAGGCTGAAGGGAGGCCGCCCACACGCTGCACTGGCATATAGGCAAGCAGGGCGAGGCAGCAGGGATCTTGGCCATTGCGGGCAATGCCGGCACGATGCGCAAATGCGAGCTGCTGGCTGCTGCGCTGCGCTAAGAGGAAGTGCAAGGCAGGCATGCGCTAGGCGGTAGGGCGCTGCCTGTGCACTGGGCGCTTGGCGGCCATAGCCGGGCTGCAGAGGGCGCAGTGGGGTGAAGGGCGAAGGTGGTACTTCGGAGGTGAAGGGCGCTGTGTGGGTAACAAGGGAGAGTGTGCGGAAGAGGACACGTACCTGGTGATGGTGGAGGTCTGCATTGGTGTTGACATCATCACTCGCTGGTAGTCAAGTTGTCTGGTTGCTGTTCATTGCTGTAGTTGTAGGATAGGCTGTAGAGTAGATAGGGCGTCTGGCGCCATTCACAAGAGAGAGCTACATTTGGGTTATGCTGTTGGTGTTGCCCTGTTGGGCATGGACATTGACTCACGATTCTTCTGTATCATTCTCAATGGGATGGTTACTCGGTTCCATGTGCTATCTGCTTTGGCTTTGAATACTTGGACTTCAGTGTGATTTTGCATTCTGGATTTCTGTGCTTCGTCCATACTCATGTTCCCTGCAATAGGCAAAAAAAATACTAAAAATCTGAAGAAAAAAAAACTACGTTGAGCAGAAAAATAACTGAAAAGCTTTTGCCTCGGGGTCGGATCGAAATTCTTTGCCAAATATAAAATTAATCTAATAAAATAAGACCTTATATTTTTATTTTTATTTTTTTTTTCATTTTTGGCCCGGCCGGGCAAGTGGTCCCAGGCCACTCTGCTAACATGGAACAAAACAAGATTTTCTGAGCAGTCTCCCAACCGAAAGTTGTTTGAAATTAATAAATTATGTTGTTCTTTTTTTTCATAAGTTTTTCAAACATTTGTGCTGGGGAATCTGGGCAGCAGCATGTTTTGGATTGCAGATATCAGTGTGTGTGTTGCACCTGTGCGCCGCACCTGCCTCGCCTCAGAAGTGATGAAGCAGATCCAGATTCACTATCCAAAGCTGTCTGTGTCACTCTCGAAACCCACTCATACATAAAGTGTAACCTGCAGACTGGATTTTTTTTCCTTTTTTCTTTATTATTATTATTTTTTTGGAGGTCGGAATTCTACATAAGGTGTATATTGGGTTCCAGAGAAGACGGTAACGTGGACACCGTTTTTTTTTCTTTTCTTTTTTTTCTTTCCATTTTTCTGAGGCAGATTCACGTTGGCAAGAGGGCTGTGCGACAAGTGATTGTGCAAACAGTGCCAAAAACGTTTTTGCACACCTACTCTATCATCCCTTCTTGAAGATTACGAGCAACGACCATCTCACTTGTGAGGTCGATGACGGCGGACTTCCGGCTTATGCCCGCACGACGGACCAGAGTAGACACCGAATTGCCTTGAGCTGCTGCAGCGCGTGTCCCTTTCCATGATAACTTCTTCATAGCGGCAGGCAGCGTCAAGGTAGCAGAAAACACCATAGTCTGCCTCTTCTGTGCATTTGCAACTGGTTGGCGATCATCCTCGTCGTCCAGACGATCGCCATGCATAACAGCAAACTCCTTCCCCTCCTCCATGACATCTTCTTCTCCATTTCCATTTCCTTCATCGGAACCCTGATCGTCTGCATTGTCCTCGGATAGGCCATGTTCATCCTCCTCTTCATCAGTTACAACCTCAACACCCTTTCCCGAGCCGGCGTTATCTTCATCATCTCTCGTTGGTAATCGGATTGCTTTGCTCTTCACATCCCCCATTTCTTCCCCCCCGACCGTGCGGTCGCCGCCGTCTCCACCGCTCTTATCCTGCTCGTCTTCTTCCCGATCCTCTTCCTGGCTGCTCTCGCCAGAAGAACCCGCATCGCTCACCACATCTTCCTTGGCAGCAAGCTTCATCTGCTTTGCCGCCTCCTTACGCTCTTTTAGATCTTTCTTCGACAACCTTTTACCCCTCCCGTACAGTGCAGGTCGCTTCGGAAGCAGGTCGATGATCGATTGCAGCTCCTGAAAGTGACCTCTCTGTACCATGCGATCCGCTTCATCCAACACAAAGAACGAAAGGTGATCCAGCTGCGAGAGAGGTACCAGAAGACAACAGTCGACACCAATCAGCAGCGCACTGAAATAATAAATAAACTCGAGGACACAGGGGGAAAAAAAAGCGTTCAAACAAACAAAAGGCAGGCTGAAATTTTTCCCTTTTTTTCTTTTCTCTTTTTTTCCTCATCTTTTTCGTCTGTTTCTTCAGGGGCTGACTGGTACACACATGCAACTGCTAGTAAACAGTAGCCTATAGGTCCCCTCCTCCTCCGTGCAAGCACAGATTCGAACCGGCGACCTCGGCCTCAAGACCCACGTATCGTAACCACTACAGCCAGGACACGGTGGACAAAAGTGGAACCATACCGGTCGTGAGATCCGCCCCACCCCTGCAAGGCTGTAGTGTCCAACTCGAACAGAACATGACATACCGGTCGTGAAATCCGCCCCACCCCTTCAAGGCTGTAGTGTCCAACTCGAACTGAACATGAGTTGGACTCTTGATGGAATCAGACAAACACTAGAAAGCTAGGGGGCCCCTTCAGCAAAAAAAGAAAAAGTAATTTTACCTCAGAGGATGGGCTGACTCTTCTTCAACACTGTTTTTGTACTCATGCTTGCCGGTCATAAGCAACCGGACTGATGCCCTCCAGAATAGAAGGGGCCGGGTTTTAAAAAAAAAAAAAAAAAAAAGAAACAAAGAGAAAAAAAGAAAAGAAAGTAAATCCATTTGAGTCTGCGTTACCAACCGGGCCACCCGGGCCACCTTGGTTGCCCAGATGGACTGGCCAGGCAAGGGCCAGGGAAGGTCCCTGTAAACATTTTTGAAAAATCCAAAAGATCCGAAAAATCCAAAAATACTATGTTGTGCAGAAAAGAAAAAAAAAGAACAACTTTTGCCTCAGGGTCAAATCGAAACCTATGCCGCATACCTTTCTCGGCCTTTTGGCTAAAAATAGATCAAGTGTAGTATCTGTTCTGATCATCAGTTTAATATCTGATCCATGGTCCATCCGACCACAAAAAAAAAAAGAAAACAGAAAACGTGTTTTTATAACTTTTTAACCTTTTTTTTTTTTTAACTTGTGTTTTGTCCGGGCGGGGCAAGGGTCCCCGGCCACTCTGGTAACGTAGATCTGAGTATAATATGTCATTGGATCAGTACCTCTGGGCCTCAGCCCTCCTCCGTGCAAGCACAGACTCGAACCGGCGAACCCGGCCTCAAGAGCCAAGTATCGTAACCACAACAGCCAGGACACGATGTTCAAAAGCGGAACCATACCGGCCGTGATATCCGCCCCACCCCTGCAAAGCTGTAGCGTCCACATAATATGCTTGATCTCAAAGCGACTCAAAAGAACACAGTATATACTACTAATGAAATCAAGAATAGAGTTAAAAATAAACCACACATGCACACAGAGGGACTCCTCACAGGTAAAATAATAATAATATTATAATAATAATAATAATAAAATCCCTGGGCATATCCAATCTTGTCTCAGGTTGCCATCCAATGCCAAATTCTTCTTCCAAATTTCAATTGATTAAATATTTGATTGAAGTTATCAAAATTCATGTGTTTCGTCAATTGGTTAATGTTTGTTAACAATGTTAACTTTATTAAAGTTCATTTGTTTTGTCGATTTTTTACATGCGAACGAAATTAGACACCCCAATGACATTCTTGTTACCAAACAGGTCTGATACTACCATCTTCCCCCGAATAGAACATTACGACCATTATCGCTGTATCTAGACTGAAAGTTACCCCAAATACAGGCATAATGATCGGACAATCATTATGCCTGTATTTGGGGCAATTTTCAGTCTAGATACAGGGCTCTCGCGAAGATGGTAGTAGGCTGATATAGGCATTAAATCTGAACGCCGCACCTTGTATAGCCTCCTGATGAGTCGGTGAAACTCCGACGAAACAGTTTGTCACAGCCCCTCGTTTGTTGTCCCCTCTTCTCCCTCTGTGCCTACAGAGCTGCCCGGTAAACCGTAGGCACAGAGGGAAAAGAGGGGAGTGTAAAGAATGCGCTAAATGCTATTAGATATACGAGACGTAAGGCGGTCTATATCTCGGAGGAGAGGAACACACCTGAATAAGATGGGTTTCCCCCAGGCTCATCAATTCCCAGAGACGGCCAGGAGTGGCGATGACGATTGCAGGCCTCTTGGAAAGGAGCCTTTGCTGCTTCTGCGTCGCCATGCCGCCGACAATTGGGACAACCCTAATGCTTGTGAACTGCGATATTGCGGAGATATGGTCACATACCTGGCCATACCAAAATACCAAAGCAAGGTATAGGGGAAGGAAAACAAAAGCACATAGAAAGAACCCAAAGTGCCCGAAGTGTTAATCGAAAGACGGGGGGAAAAATAAACATTAGAAAGAAAGAAAGTGCAAGATGGAACAATAATGTGCAAGAAGGTAAGAGCTCAAACATCAGCAAAACCCGATGCCGCATGATTCATCCTTTTCATTCCTCGCCTCCAGATCCTCCACTTCGACCAACACCAACTACACAGCACATCCCAGTCATCCAAATCACTAGATTTCATTAAGAAAAAAGTTTAAAAAACTCAAAAGATGCCGCAAGAAACATGCTTAACCCTCCTCCCACTCTTCTTCATCCTTTACTTTTTCTAGTTCTCATCCTCCCTCGTCGTTTCTCCTCTTCTTTCTCTTCTTCGTTCTCCTTTTCTTTCCTTTTTCTGTTCGTCCTCCTCTTCTTTCCCCCCCGTCCCCCCGTTTTCCTGCACAAATCACTCATCCTCATCTTCATCCTCCTCTTCTTCCGCGTCCAGCCCCTTCATCACTGTCCTCCTCTTTTTCATCTGTACTATGACACTTATGCTTGTTGTCTGTGAGAAGGAGACAGAGAAACGCACACACAGACAGCCAAAGGGACACCGCTCAACAGACGTTCACACACACACACACACACACACACACACACACACACACACACACACACAAAATTCACACACACACACACACAAAATTCACACACACACCTGGAGTGCCAATTCCCTCGTCGGAGTCAAGATCAGTGCCTTCAAACTTCCGTTGCAGGTGCTTCCTGCAGCAGTTCTGGTACCACAGGGATTGCCACCTGGCCCGTTTCCTGTTGTGCCATCTTTCTGTTTCACTTGTGCCTCCTCCTCCTCCTCCTCCTCCTCCTTTTCCTCTTCACATGACTCTCCACGCTTCTGTTTCACTTTCGCATCCTGGTCTATCAGCCGTTGTATGATTGGAATTCCAAAGGCCAATGTTTTGCCAGATCCAGTCTCAGCTGCACCAATCACATCCTGGCAAGCAGCACACACATGTCCCGTTAGTACGTCCGATTTTCCATGCGAACGCACGTCCGTAAACATGCGCCTGATCTCAGATTCTTAACTCATTTTTGTTACCACACACTCACACGGTGTGCAAGCGGCACAGATGCCTGATCACAATATTTCAAGAAAACTCATCCGTTTCCGACTTGCAAACATTCATTGCATGTAGCTCTAGTTCCGCCAACTTCAAGCACGACCGGACAGACTCTCATGTGGTCAAAATGACAGTTGTAAATGAACTGTCATGTCATCAACAACATGACAGTTATAAATGAACATGTTTAGTGATCCTGTTCACTCCCCCCCCCCCCCCTTTGTTTGATAACTGTGATGTTGCTTAACCTTGCTGCTGGGTTACCAGTCCTAACCTTATGGTTTGCAGGTTGCAGGGAGCTGGGAAATAGCCCTCCCGTGGTTGACAGACACGGAGCGGAACTCAGGGCAAATTTCACGTGCCTGCAGAGTCCTTCACCCGGTCGAGAACGGGACGACAGGTGGTCAGCAGTGCTTAGCAGTATGCACCTGGCTGGCACTGTACCTGTACGAACATCTGAAAACAACCCTGCATGCTTTCTGTTTTTTTTCCCCTCCTTTTTTTCAAATAAGATTCTACAATCAGACAGAGAGAGAGAGATCTTGTGCATTGACCTTAGTGTTTAATCCACCAGTACCACACCGAACCTTGCCGAGCCTCAAGCTACCTGTAGCTACACAATAAAAAAAATAAAAAGAGAAAAAATAATAAACAAACATCATTCATGATTCTTCTATATAAAGAAAGAAAAAAACAAAGAAAAACAAAGCAGCCCGTTTCTCTCAGCGCGCGAGGAGAGAGAGAGAGAGAGAGAGAGAGAGAGAGAGAGAGAGAGAGAGAGAGAGAGAGAGAGAGAGAGAGAGAGAGAGAGAGAGAATCTTCTCGCGAAATTGCGGAAGATTCACTCTGGTTTCACGCTGAAGAAATTAAAAATTTGGTCCACAGTTTCAATGTGAATGAGATGGGCTTCGTCCTATAACAATCATAATACCTTGCATGTAGCTCTGCATATGAAAAAAAACGTCTGTGCTGATGCTGAAAACATCCAACCAAATCATGTTGATAGTACACTCCATACCGAACATCCTCGTTCATTCACTACGGAAAAAATGGAATGGATAGTGAGACACAGATGTACCTGCTTTGTGCCTGAATGGTACATACTACATACATGTAGCTCCTTCTTGATACACGCAGATCACGAGTTCATGCTTCAAATCCGGATGCAATCAAATGACTATGGCACCCTTAGGGTCTAACCTCCTTTTGAAAAAAGAAAAACAAAAAGATAATGATGGCCAACACAGATCGTGAGTTCAAACCCCAATGCAGTCTAATGATTACAATTATACAATAACAATTCTACCGCAGGGTCTAACTCCTTCAGAAAAACAAGTGGTTGCCCACCGCAGCTCCACCCCCATGGCACAGATGAGCGGTGGGAGGAGAGGTCTCTCTCCAGGGCACAAAAAGGCAAAGAAAAAAAAGAGGAACTGAAAAGCCTATCTAGGCATTTTCTCTTCTCACCATGGCAGTGTTGTCTCCAGTGCGGTGCCATGGGGGCCAGGTGGGGTAGAACCCCCACGTGCTTCACACACACACACACACACTGAGACGGCTCCGTGAAAGTCCGACGAAACAGTCAGGCACAGTCATGCTCCCTTTGTGGAGTTGTGCATAATGAACATGACAGTGCACACACACACACACCTGTCTCTTATACACATCTAGATGTGTATAAGAGACAGCTGTAGAGTAGATAGGGCGTCTGGCGCCATTCACA